CGATCCACAATTTAAATTGTATTAAATTTGGTACCATTTAGTATCCACAAGTACTTATTTTCAAAGCTTTCTACTTACCACAATCCTACAATGCAGTCCTTCTTTCCAAAATTTCAGCACTCCAGCTCTATCTGTTCACCCAAATCAAAATTGTCCCAAATTTAGTACCATTTAGTACTTTTCGTGCACTGAAGTACAAATTTCGAAAACTACTTCCATATCCCAATCCCACACTCCGCCAGTAATGTTAATTTAAAATTTCAGGATTCCAGCTCCATATATTCTTCCAAATCCAAATTATTCCAAATTTAGTACCTTTTAGTACTTTATACATGGTACGCATTTCCAAAACTACCTCCTTGCATCGACACTACTCCTCAACATTGATTCCAATTCCAAATTTTAAGTTTTTAGTTCTAAACCGTTCACATGATACGAAATGGTACCAAATTTAGTACATTTTAATTTTGAATTTTCAAACACCCTTTTGTAAAATTTTCCAAAAACCCTTTGGTACATTTATCATGCACTCCATCAGGGACCCTCATTTCAAATTTAAGATTTCTAGCTCTACAAAATATATAGAAAATTTTTCGTTGGTGAAGTTTTTCTATAGAAAAATCTCTCGTTGGTGAAGTTTTTCTATAGAAAAATGTCTCGTTGGTGAAGTTTTTCTATAGAAAAATGTCTCGTTGGTGAAGTTTTTCTATAGAAAAATGTCTCGTTGGTGAAGTTTTTCTATAGAAAAATCTCTCGTTGGTGAAGTTTTTCTATAGAAAAATTGCCGTTTATAACATTTTTCTATAGATAAATTGCCGTTGGTGACATTTTTCTATAAAAAAATTGCCGTTGGTGACATTTTTCTATAGATAAATTGCCGTTGGTGACATTTTTCTATAAAAAAATTGCCGTTGGTGACATTTTTCTATAAAAAAAATTGCCGTTGGTGACATTTTTCTATAAAAAAAATTGCCGTTGGTGACATTTTTCTATAAAAAAAAATTGCCGTTGGTGACATTTTTCTAAAGAAAATTTACCATTGGTGAAGATTTTCTAAAGAAAATTTTCCATTGGTGAAGATTTTCTATAGAAAAATTTCCTTTGGTGATGATTTTCTATAGAAAAAATTGCCATTGGTGACATTTTTCTATAGAAAAAATTGCCATTGGTGAAGTTTTTCTATAGAAAAATTGCCGTTGGTGAAGTTTTTCTATAGAAAAATTGCCGTTGGTGACATTTTTCTACAGAAAAATTTTTCGTTGGTGACATTTTTCTACAGAAAAATTTTTCGTTGGTGACATTTTTCTACAGAAAAATTTCTCGTTGGTGACATTTTTCTTTAGAAAAATTTCTCGTTGGTGACATTTTTCTTTAGAAAAATTTCTCGTTGGTGACATTTTTCTTTAGAAAAAATTGCCATTGGTGACATTTTTCTTCAGAAAAAATTGCCATTGGTGACATTTTTCTATAGAAAAAATTGCCGTTGGTGACATTTTTTCTATAGAAAAATTGCCGTTGGTGACATTTTTTCTATAGAAAATTTTCCATTGGTGACATTTTTTCTATAGAAAATTTTCCATTGGTGACAATTTTCTTTAGAAAATTTTCCATTGGTGACAATTTTCTATAGGAAATTTTCCATTGGTGACAATTTTCTATAGGAAATTTTCCATTGGTGACAATTTTCTATAGGAAATTTTCCATTGGTGACAATTTTCTATAGGAAATTTTCCATTGGTGACAATTTTCTATAGGAAATTTTCCATTGGTGACAATTTTCTATAGGAAATTTTCCATTGGTGACAATTTTCTATAGGAAATTTTCCATTGGTGACAATTTTCTATAGGAAATTTTCCATCGGTGACAATTTTCTATAGGAAATTTTCCATTGGTGAAGATTTTCTATAGAAAATTTAAACCCAAATTTCAGCATTCCACTTTCAGCCGTTTCGTGATAGCATAAAAACCTAATAAACCCAATCAACTATCAAAAAATGATTTATTAAAGTTTCGAATGGCATTCTATTTTAAGAACAAACGATGATATATTAATTCCCAACATCCATGACAAATTCTACAATTGATTAAGGGATAACAACAAAAATGAAGAAGAAGCTAACGGAAATTTATCATTTCCATTTTTATTTCGATTGACTAATTTTCTTTTGCTCTCAAACCCCGCCCTCCCCAAAAAAGGCTAAGGAAAATCAATTAATTTCTTTAATTTACTTTCGTGAAAAAAGGAGGGAGAAAAGCCAAAAATCCTCTCTCAAACCCACAACATACATCATTCACGATGATGATCACAATGATGATGGTTGTGTGTGCGTGTGTATGTGCGTGTGTGTGTCGCTGTGTTTCAAATGATATATCGATATCCAATGGCAGGCCATGTCATTGACACAACAAACACGTAGCATATATTATTGTGGTTAACATTTCGAAATTAATTTATTGTCACTTCGGTTTCTGCAAAAGCTGTTATTAATTTCAGTTAATTAACTAAAAGTCCACACAAAAACAAAGTAGCAAACAAACAAAACAAAAAAACAAAATGGATACAAATTAGTTAGCAAAAGGTAAAGAAGTTTTGATGATTGATTAAGAGATACTTATCGTTTTCTGGGGGGTTTTCTCTCTCTCTCTCTCTTTGTGGGGAGGACAATGTAAGACAATATGAAATGAAATAAAAAAGAAGAATTTTTTCAAGAGGTCAGGGGACGATAATAAATAAAAAAATACGAAAAAACAACAATTCGAAATATTAATAGACGAACTTTGGTGCTAGAGTTAATTGCGGTTGTCTAGGAGCTTAATCAAATGCTATAACACGAATATTGGATAAATGAAGGATCTTTTTTACATTTAAAGTAAACGCCATAGATATACTGAAATTATGCCAAAGTTGTATTAAATCCTTAGATAATGGATAAAAAAAATAAATAATTTTAATAATAATGGGTAAATAATAGGGCTTTATATCACTGTGCAATTTTCAATAATTACCGAAAAAATCCAGCAGATTTTGAAAGTAGGGCAAAAAGGAGAAGAAGAAAGAAAGTTTTGAAAGTTTATATCTCAATTACAGGGGACCAGTTCCCCCCACTTCCAACCCTTTGGATATTTTCGGATTAAAATTCCTTGGAATCCTAACATTTTAGGTATATAGTATCCCCGGCAATATTGCAGAAAAAACACAAGGATTTTTCGGTGAACATTTTTAACACTCAAGCGAGTCAGCAATGGGATCTTTTAGGTACTTTTTTGAAATATAGTTAAAAAAACTCTCTCTAAACGGCATTGTATCAAGTCAAAATATTCTAGGTTCTAGACGGCATTAAAAGTGTAAATTTTACCTAAACGCCTGGAATTCATAAATACAAAGCAGTAAAAAAGCAGCAAAGTTCGGCCAGGCCGAACTTTTTATACCCTCCACCATTTGGAAGAAACTTGAAAATTTTCAAAAAAAAAATTCCGTCGGTTCTATACGAAGACGTGGTCCTGCATAAGTAATTTGTGCTAATTTCCGAACTTTATATACGAAATTTGAAACAATTCCGGTGCATAACGTTGCAAAAATCATTAAAATACCGAATTTCGGGAGGAACCGTTATGTAGGGAATATATGATATCGTGGACCTATAAAGACAATTCTCTTTCAGGGGATAAAGCACTCACAAGGAACTCCTTGGTTGAATTTTCAGTAAGTTCCGTTGAAAAATGTGGCTAAAACCATCAAAATACCGAATATCGGTGGAACCGTTATATGGGGAATATATTATATCGTGGACCTATATAGACAGTTCTCTTTCGGGAGGTAAAGTACTCCTTGTGTAGAATTTCAGACACTTCCATTGAAAAATGTGGCTAAAGTCATCAAAATATCGAAGATCGGGTGATACCGTTATGTGGGGGCCATACGATATCGTGCACCGATATAGATAGTTCTCTTCCAGAAGATAAAATACTCAGAAGAAACTCTTTGTGCGGATTTTAAGACAATTCCATTGAAAAATTTGCCTGAAATTATCAAAATAACGAAAAATTGGGGGTGGGGGGTGGGGGGTGGGTGGATTTGTCGCACCGTGTTATTAACTTAATGGAGGGCGTGGAATGCAAGAAAGGCGAGGGCTTAACAGTTTCACAGATATTACCCCACATTAGGGAACTCCTGTTTCACTCTACGGATGCTCGAACTCGATCACGTACGACTGGCGTCCGCCCGACGTTTTAAACTTGGCCGGAAGGTGTTGTGCTCAATTTTTTCAAACACTATGACGTGATTGACTATTTCAAAAGCTTTCGATAAAATCTAATGCTACCTTAACCGTTCAATTTCACGGCCTGTTCTAGTTGAGTCCTCTGCAGACATGTATGGAAATGGTGTGTAAAGCCGTTGTTGTGCTGTGCTATGCTATTTTCGGAATCCGTGTTATTGAATGGCTACGGGAAAACACTTCCTCATGCTGGGGAGGAGTAATACCTCAAGCGTCTTTGCTACGGCCAACAAAAGTGATATCGGCCTGAGTGAATAACTTTTACTGGCATCCTTATCTGGATTCGGCAGCGGGACCACCCTGCCAAAGTTTAGGGTCTCGAGAACTATTACGGCGGTTAAGGGCAAGTTGGGGAATTAGTTAGATACACAACTCCCGGTTCATCCAGTTGCATCAACATCACCATTTAGAGATTCTGTCAGGACCAAGCGCTTTGCATGACTTTGTACCTCTGATGACATGTGCAACATCTAACATCGTGAATTGGGGTGATATTTCCTCGCTGGAAGAGATCGTACTCGACATAGAATTCTTCTCTTAGCCTCGTCATTCTCGTGGTGCTTTAGGAAGTGCCGGTTAAAATATCTCGCGCACCTATTTGGATGTTTCACGTCTACGCCGTAAAAATGATACTGATGTCCGACCATGAGTTTTTTCCAGGGTTCGAGAGCGTCTTAACTGTTGCCCACGATTTGCTCGATCCGATACTGATGTTGCAATGCTTCGCTTCTCGGCCTTATGGCTAAGATCAAAGTGTAGTATCTCTTCTTATCAGCTTAACATCTATCTGATAGATCCTACATCGGAGGAAAGAAATGTTAAACTGATTTTTGGAAATAGACGGGATGTTTAGGGGCTTTGCTCCACTCCTGTCCGCTAATGCTGGCCAACTAACCTGTTTACCTTTAGAATTAGGACCCTAACACTGGAATTATTGGGGGTTAGTACGGCAAATCTTATTTTACTCATTTCCTAGTCCCGCTGGCTCTGCTGGAAAAATTAGTCTTATTACAGACGTTCGACCCGGGAAAATCTATTTGCTACCTGAACTCCAGATGGGTTGGGCAGTTCTCTGAAGCGGCCATTGGTATCTTCTCTGAATTTTTGCCAATTGGTTTTCTCATGGTTAAGGAAACTACGGCGGTGTTGTTCATTTTCACGCCCCTTTGTTATACCCTCCACCTTGGAAAGGAGGGTATATTAACCTTGTCATTCCGTTTGTAACATCCTTAAATATTCGTCGTAGATCCCATAAAGTATATATATTCATAATCAGCATAAAATTCTGAGTCGATCTAACGACGTCCGTCTGTCTGTCCGTCTGTCTGTCTGTTGAAATCACGATACAGCCCACATTATTTGACGTAGAGCACCAACATTTAGCAGAGCAATTTTTATTGTGTCTAGGATGGCTGGTATTGAAAATGTGTGTGTCCACGTTCTGGAATAGTCCCCATATAACGGTACCTCCCGATATTCGGTATTTTGATGATTTATGCCACATTCTTTCACGGATTTGTCTGAAAATTGGTATTCGTAGGTCATAACGAGTCCCTGTGCGTGTGGCAAAACAATGCATGTATAGGTCCACGTTTTGTTATAGCTCCCATATAACGATACCTCCCGATATTTGGTATTTTGATGATTTATGTCACATTTTTTTTACGGATTTGTCTAAAAATTGGGATTTGTTGGTCATAATGGGTTTCAGCTTCGGTGGCGAAACATTGCATGTATGGGTCCACGATTTGGTTTTTTACCACATTTTTTCACTGATTTGTCTTAAAAATTTTATTGGTGGGCCAGAATGGGTCCCACATCGTGTGGCGAGTCATTGTAATTATAGGTCCACGTTTTGGTATGGCCCCCATATAACGATACCTCCCGATATTCAGTATTTTGATGATTTTTGCCACATTTTTTTCACGGATTTGTCTTAAAATTGGTATTTGTAGGTCATAATGGGTTCAAGCTCCTTTGGCGAAACATTGCATGTGTAGATCCACGATATGGTTTAGCCCCCATATAACGGTACCTCCCGATATTCGGCATTTTAATGGTTTTCGCCACATTTCTTCTAATGTTTTCTTTACCCTAAGGTGGAGGGTATTAAAAGTTTGACCCGGCCGAACTTAATGTATTTTTACTTGTTTTTCTTCTCAAACGTAGTTTCCCCCTCAACTTCTCACCCTTGGATCCATCTCCAACCGCCCTACTGATGTGAGAAATTTCCAATATAGCTTTCATACAGTGATTTGGGAAAACAACAATTTAATGACTCACACACACACAAACAGCCACTCCGAGTCATAAACTGTTATTGTCTGTGGAAATCTTTGAAAATCAATACTTCTCTCTCTCACTCACTCTCTCTCTCTCTCTTTACCTTAGAAAAATGCAATTAAAATTTTGTTAATATTTTATTAATAACAATAATTTTTTTATTGATATGGAACAGCAATTTCATGCCACACACACACTTATATTGTTCGTGATCAATTCAATTGAAATGGATTTTTCCCGCACAAAACACATACAAACATATTTGTATGTATATGATAACAATAAATTCCCTTTTGCCACCTCCTCCATGCCGAAGGGACTCGAGCCATGACAAAAGCCATATTTGTCCCACATTCTCTGGCATTTCTGCTGCATTCATTCGAACATTCAGTCATTGACAAAAATACAACCGCATTGATGGACATAAATCATCATCATAGTCGGCGGCGTCGGAGTCGAAGTTCTGGTCCATCCGACCACAATGGCAGCGGCATTTTCAAAACTAAGGGCAATGGAGTGTGACAACTCGTGGCAAAAATCGTTGCACAATCCGTATTTAATTTAATTTTTATGCCATGAGGTATTTCGCCTGAAATGAATGACCTGCCAGGCCACAAACGCTGAAAACGCTGTGGCTTTGAAGCCATCAACATAGACTATCGCGCGCTCTCCCTCTCTCTCTCCCTATCTCCCTCCATTGCTGTACTGCCGCCAAATTGAGAATATGTCACGTGCCGGTATTATTTGTCAGTTTGTGTGATTTGTAGTGAGTTTGTCCATTTGTATAGGTGTGACTGTGAGTGTGTGTGTGCGTGCGTGTCTAAAGTTGTTAAAATTTATGTTCAAGCTGCTGCTTCTGCTACTGCTGACCAACATTTTTTTGTGCAATCACAAAATTGAGGAATAAAGAGACGTAAAATTCAATGAAATTACACAGTTTTTTTATGTTTGCCGATATAAAGCTGAAGAGATTTTTGGAGATTTATGGCGTGGTGGGTGGCAAAAAAAAACGAACTGGGCGAACCTCACATAAATTGATTTTCGTGGGAATTGTTGTTAAAAAGTAAAGCCCTTGCAAAAAATGAGGCACTAAATATTATAGGAAAAATCAATACCATCTTTCGAAAAAATATTTAAAGCAGAACCTAACCAACCTTCAACCCTTATAACCCACAAAAATCCAAATCAATATTTTATAAGTAGATCCAAATGAATCTTCCAACCCAAAAACAAAAAATAAATAAAAAACAAGTAAAAAAGTTGTAAGTTCGGCCGAGCCGAACTTTGAATACACTCCAACATTTGGAACGAATTTGGCTATTCTCAAAAACAATAAAATCCCTTAAAAATTCTATTAAAACCTTACAAATACCGAATGTAGCTGTTACATTAGGGTCTATACGACGACATGGACCTGCATACGTAACCTTTGTCATAAGCCATTACAATATTCAAATGCGATACTTAAAAAGATCGGTAAATAGTGTAGCTAAAATCATTAAAATACCGAATATCGGGAGGTACCGTTATATAGGGGCTATACAGACAATTTTCTGTCATAGGCTGTAGTATCCATTACGAACTTCAAATACCAAATTTGAAACAATTCCGATGAATATTGTCGCAAAAATCATGCAAATACCGAATATCGGGGGGTACCGTTATATGGGGACTATACGAAGACGTTGACCTGCACAGACATTTTTCTATCAAAGGCTGTAGCATACATTACGAACTTTAAATACCAAATTTCAAAGAATTCCGCAGCATAATGTCGCTACAATCAGCAAAGAACCGAATATCCGGAGGTACCGTTATATGGGGGCTATACGGAGACATAGACCTACATAGAGAATTTTCTGTCAAAGGCTGTAGTATCCATTACGAACTTCAAATACCAAATTTGAGACAATTCTGGTGAATAATGTCGCTAAAATCATCAAAATACCGAATAAGGGGAGGGGGGGCGTTATATGGGGGCTATACGAAGACGTCGACCTGCACAGACAATTTTCTGTTATAAGCTGTAGCATCCATTACGAACTTCAAATACCAAATTTGAAACAATTCCGATGAATATTGTCGCAAAAATCATCCAAATACCGAATATCGGGAGGTACCGTTATTTTGGGGCTATACCAAAACGTCGACCTACATGGCCCATTTTCAATACCAAAAGTCCTGCAGACATAATATATATTTGAGTAAAATTTTATCAATCTTCTTCAATTCATTCAGAAGCTTCCACAGACGGACAGGAGGACAGACGGACGGACATTGCTAAATCGACATAAAATTTTATGCTGATCAAGAATTTATATATTTACTTTGTGGGGTCAACAATGTACATTTCGAGGTGTTACAAACGGAATGACAAATTTAATATACCCTCCATACTATGGAGGATATTATACCCTTCATACTACTATGGCCCTTAAGCCAATTGTGCCCTCAATTCTGCAATGCCACTTTTAAAGAAATTCCAAAATCCCAAAACCAATGCCACCATCAACCCCCACCCCCTCTATCTCTCTTTCTCTCACACTCACTCTCTCTCTCTCTCTCAAACCACCACAAAAATGCATTTCACTGACATTTGAGACTCCCAAATTTGAAATGCATCATCAAAACCAATCAGACAGACCTTCCGTCGTCATCATCGTCGTAACATAACAAAATCTCATTGCTATTTTAGTGTGGATTTCTAAAAACCCCACATTTCGTTTATTATGCCACGGCGGGTAATTGACATTTTCATTGGAATTTTAATGAGATATCTGAAGATATCTGATTGGGAGAGATTATGCAAAAATTGTGAAGGCATTCGCGGATTTATTGAAGAGTGGAATGCCAACTAAGCCAAAGAATGTAGAAAAGTTCAATTGGTAAAAAAAATTGAAGGATTATTTATATTTTGTAACCAATGGATAATTTTGTGAGAATTTAATCCCACACCTGCATCAGCGAATACCTTATTTTATTCACTGGCATATGTCTTTTCAAAATACGGACTTAAGGACATCGATTTTTCGAAAATATTTAATCAACTTTTTGTGGGTCGTGGATTTAATAACAAATCAACTAGTAAATCCAGAGGGGTATTTATACCCTCCACCTTGAAAAGGAGAGTATATTAACTTTGTCATTCCGTTTATAACATCCCTAAATATTCGTCGTTGACCCCATGAAGTATATATATATATACATGATTTAAAAAAAATTCTATGTCAATTTCACGATGTCCGTCTGTCTGTCTGTTGAAATCACGATACAGCCCATACTATTTAACGTAGAGCTTCAACATTTGGTACAAAAATTTGTATTGTGTCTGGGATGGCTGGTATTAAAAGTGAGATATATCGGTTCAGATTTTGTATAGGTATAGCCGCCATATAACCGTACCTCCCGATATTCGGTATTTGGATTATTTTTGCCATATTTTTTCACGGATTATTGTAAAAATTGGTATTTGCAGGTCATAATGGGTTCTAGCTCCGGTGGCGAAACATTGTATGTATAGGCCTACGTTTCCATATAGCCCCCATATAACCGTACCTTCCGATATTCGGTATTTTCATAATTTTTGCCACATTTTTTCACGGATTTTTCTAAAAATTGGTATTTATAGGTCTTGCTGCT